CTGATTTGACAAAATATATGATTGCGTGCTTTACTTTATACATAGCGGTAGTTCCACGGATATGTCTTCCCTACTTTGAGATGACAGGCACACCAGGAAAAAATTCATAGCTCTTGGATTAGTGTCCTGCCTGAGCTAATAAGGGGACAGATGAATGTTTCCTGAAAGAAAAAGTAGATGTGGCTCATCAGTAAAACAGCCCATTTCAGAGAGCTGGAACGATCTGAAATTCCTGGAGGAACATCCATCCTCACATTACCGTGTACATTGACAGATGGTGTGGCTTCACATGAATAGGAATTTTAAGTCACCGTCTTTGACTTGAAAAGATAAACCCCAGGCAGGTTTTGAAGAGCAGCTGGCCCTTCATGGACCAGTGCTTGTGGGGATTCTTCTTTAAGAAGCTGGAATGGTGGTAGCTGTGAGCAGCACACACAGCACAGCTCCTCATTCCCTTTAGTAGTTTTCCCTGGAAAAAGCCTGAAGCAGCAGCAGCAGCTTTCTCCATGCAGGAATTGGAAAACAGCTCATCCGACTGGCTGGAGAATTTATAAAATTAGGAAAACAAAGTAGCAAAAGGCCTTGGTTCAACAGTGTTTCTTTTAGACTGCCTGTCTCTTTGAAGTAACTAGTCTTGAATCAGTTTATGAGCATCAGACAAGACAAACACTGAGGTCCATTTGGGAGTTTTTCTTTGGAGCAGCATATTAATACTCTGTAAGGAGATGCAGGRCATGTAGTTTTCTTTAACAGCAGCCCTAATCACCCCAAATCTCTCCAGCTCACTGTTAGCACACCCTCTTGACGAGACTGCAACAGACATGAATGGGCTGTCTTATACAGTGCTTAGATTAATCCTGCAAAAAATGGGGTAACTGACCCTCTGCACCAGAAAAAGTGTCCCMCAAACCCACAGGATTCTCAGAAGTCTTGTCCCTGCCTAGCAGGCACTGAGTTTGCCACAGCAGCAGCTGCTCCAGCTGACMCACCCCTCTTCTCTAGAGCCTCCCAGGAGACCAAGCAAAGGGAAACAGTGCTCACAGAGGCTGGCCAGCCAAAAGGACAAGGACCAAAGGGACTTGCTGACTACAGCAACCAATCTCAATAGTAACAGCATGTTCAGTCAGGAAAGCCCTTGTCTTCCTACCCCCTTCACATATTTTCTGTAAGTGTTAGGAGACGAGCTCTGACGTGGTCTTGGCTCCTTATTCCTACAGCTGGCCTTTCAATAAGTAAAGCCTTCCTCTCCYCACAAGAACTAGAGGAAAGCCTGGATAATTCATGCTGATTCTTCGTAGTCAGGCACATATGTGAGCGTGCTTCTTACCTGTGCAACTGATTGGATTTGCTTTTTTTCACCTTTAGTATCAAGAGTAGTAAGGAGGACATCTCACAGAATGGGAGTGAAGAAATAAAGAAGGGATGCAGTAAAAAAATCTATTCAGTCAGGCAGCCACCTTTTCTGTTGTTTTGCATGTAATACACAGGAGTGCATTTTATTTAGTGGACCTAAATTTGCAGTGGTAGGTTAACAGTTGGACTTGATGATCTGGAATTRTCTTGATAATTTTCCCACTCATTTCCAATTGAATCTGTGAGTTTATAATAGTGCAGGCCACACCAAGGGCAGCAGCAGGAACTCTGCATATTAGACTTCCCTAAAGCTGTTCCACAYGAGCACATCCCTGTGGTGACTTCTGTAAGAAGGTGCATGATAGCAGCTCCAAATACCTTGGGGATCTGTCCTAGTTCCCTTTCCAACTCTCCCTGGTAAAGGTATGAACAAACAGCAGCTCATTTCCCCTGGTAAAGATGAAGAAAGCCKTATCCCTCTGTTGCTGCTGCAGACCGTTCAGTCCAAGGTGACTTTAGGAAGTGGCTCTGCCAGGTCGAGCTCTGTGGTGGCTGCTTCAGAGTAACAACTCAGTAACTGCTTGTCTTGCTGTAGTTGAAGGTTAAGCTGCAGCACCCACCACTGGGTTAAGCACCCAAAAAAAAAGGAGAAAACAGACTGAATGTTGCCAGCTTAAATTATGTGCTCTGTTCTGTTCTGCCACATTCTCCTGGGGCTTGCCATTAGAACACAACACCTTCAGCTGAGTTTCCTCCTTTCTTGTTGTCAGCCATAAAGCTTAYAGCTCTTTTATTTTAGGGTATTCTTCAGAAAGAAAAGAGTGATGTTTGGGAACAAATTCAAAGTGAGACAAAGCAGCTTAAACAAAGGTTGGTTTGTGTTTTCTTGCTAWGGAAATGACAAACGAATCTGTCTGCAGCAGAGATGAGCATTTAATCTYGCCATTTCCCATCTGGGAAACACTAATAACACTCAGCATCTCATTTCTTTGTTGGGGGGACTTGGTTGGTCAGGAGACAGGTAGTAATATTACCCCATGAAATACTTTTGCATTTTCCCAGCTGGTGTTCCTGGGGACAACTTCCATCTGCAAACATAGTTTGGCCACAATGTGTAGCCAAGCAGATCAAGGTAACTACTTTCTCCATGCTGGAAACTCTCATTTCAGAACAAATTCTAGACAAGTTTATCTTCAGTACTAGTATGGAACCTGAAGAGAAGTAGGTGGTGCTCCTCAGTGTTGGTCAACATCAGTCTGAGGTTCATCTGAGAGAGAGGATTGCCATCCTTGGAGAGCAGGCTCAGGCAATATGGAGCAGGGAATGAAGGCTGCAGCCAAATCCTTGTAYATAACAGACAATGACAAGTTACACAACGAATTTGGTGTTTCCAAATCCGAGTCACTGAACTGGTGCTCAAAATAATCCAGTGTAAAAATACTGCAAAAGGAAAGTCTTTTTGCTGTATTAACTGTTTTCACAAGGTCAATCCTGCTTTTCTTCCCTGTAATCTTTTACTTCAATTTTTAAAATGTTGGGCTTTTTTACATTAAGGTGTTTAATTAAGATAGAGTTAGGAGTTAGTACCATCTTTGGCATACGGGCCAGACCAGGATTTGAAACAGTTATTGTTATTGCTGGCTATCCCTTCACCTGAGGTTGTTGTCTGAGTCCTAGCTGAAAAGACTTAATTAAGATGCTATTATTCTCATCTCAAGGAAGATTTCTTTTTTTACTCTCATTTTTTCTTTAGTGTAGTAGTTGGGGATTTAGTTTGGAAATTACAGAATCATGGAAAATTGGGCTGAGAGGGGCCCTGTGGTCTATTCCATTTGCCTGTCTCAAGGCAGATCATAGATTCCTAAATGGTTTTGAATGAAAGATTCCCCCAAATTAATTTCAAGATCTCAAATTATAGAGATTCCACAATCGGTTTAGGAATTCTGTTCCAATATTTTGCTTGTATCCAGAGCATACATGTCTATTCTCAGCTGATTTTTAAATACTTTTTTTGTGCAGTAAAACTTGAAAAGAAGGTAACAGAGGAAAGTAAAACACAGGAAGTAGAAAGGACTTCCAATGTCATCAATGCCAATTCCTTACTCTTATAGGCAACCATGTCAGGTAAAGCCTTCCTTGTACATGCACAGAGCTCAGTATTGGACCTGGCTGAACTTTGCCCCCTAAATGTTCAAAACCAAACTCTGCTGAGATTCTCATCTTTCCAAAAGTTAAGAATCTTGTGTAAAGTAGAACTGCAAAACCAGAGGGACATTATAAAGCCTGTGAGATACACTTCTGGGTATGTGATGTGCAGAAAAAACTTTAATGAAGTGACAGAGTTGCTAACAGACATGGTGAAGTCTCAAAAATGAAAGATAGACCTCTCTTGAAAATTAAAATCCCTGCTGAAACAGATAATGATGCTTCTAAATTTCCCAAGATAGCTGGATCTCACAAAAAAATCAGTCATCAGTAGGACTGCACAAGATGTTCCTAACTTCCAAGAGAACTACATCTGAGMTAGGATAGTGATATTTGGCTTGTCTGAAAAATAAAATTGTGACTATTCCAAGAAAAAGTCTTAGAAAGTGTGGAAGAAAGAGAGGCTGGGTGGGGGTAAAGTCAACATGGAGTTAAGAAGAAAAAAATAAGACCAAATTCAATAGAAATGGAGAGCAAAGTTTCTGAACTGAGGATGAGGAAGATGTTAGATTACAGGAGGGAGGAGCTAACTTCAGTGATCYCCTAACTGTTTAACATGAAGGACAAGCACACATGCCAGACATAAAAGTTCTCTTCTTTACCAGTGTCATAACTGATGCTCAGAGAGCATCTACCATCTCCACAATGTACCAAAGAATCCTTCAAGACACAACCCCGTGTGTCAAGGTACCACTGAAGATATGAAAAGACATGAGGAACGTATATTTAGGTATCTGGATTCAACTCTTTATGAGACATCACTGAATTTTAAGCMCCACAGAAGAAAGTCTTGAGTAGTTCTGTGGGGTCAGGATCTTTGTCCTTGTCCTGCAACAGCTAKGAGAACCCAGCTGGAAAAGCTTGGAGGTTATAATCACTAGCATAATATCATGGCCCAATGCACAGGACAATACTTTCAGACAGGACTTGCTGGGGTACTGAATATTATCAATGAAGTCCTAAATTCTAAACTAGAGCAATCCAAACCATCATTGAGATGTAGCCCTCCCAGAAGAAACATTTTTTCCAAAGCTCATAACTCAAAATGAGTCATGCCTGATTAACTTCACTTGGGTCAGGAGACTAATCATGAGATGCTATTTATAAATTATGTAAAGAAAGTCAGAGAGAGAGCATTAGAATAACATTCAGAATGGAAGACATGTTATAGCCTTAGCACAGAGTCACTATGATGACAAAAACTAGGAACCTTCTTTATTAGCAGGTGTTGCCTTTTTTACTTTTTTTAAAGTGTGTCTACTCTCCAGCAAAAAAARTTATTAAATATTAGTGAGACTCCAAACCAGAGAGCAACTGTCCAGCTCAGTTCTTGGTGGGGTAATAGATAAGAAAATTTCACCTCCTCCTTCTCCTCACAGCTGCCCCGCACACATGCACACACACACACAGAGGCCAGGGAAATCTACTCCTAGAGCACCTACCTTGGGTTTGAAGGCGATTAATTTCAGGACCATCTCCACAGTGAAGAGGCCAGTGAAGAGCATGTTGAGGATGTTCATGGCTTCCTTGAACATGCAGCTCTGACCGTAGTGCTGAAAAACAGCATCCCAGCAGGAGTGTGAGAATAGGACATGCCRGCAGTCAGGAATACACAGGACCCCTCCCATTCTCCCTTCATGCCAAGGTTCTCTAACGAAGATCCCAACATGCTTCATTGTTTCAATTAAGAATTCCCATCTCCCTTCACACAGAAGCATTCCCATGCCTCTATCCATTTTTGCCACCTGGTTCTGGATCTCACCTTATAAAAAAAATCTTTTTGAGGAGTGGCTACCAAAATCACACTTATCTTTCCAATTCAGGGCTCATTAGAAATTTGCATAATAGTACAAGACAATCTCCAATTGTGTTTTTTATCTCAACCATCCCTAATACTTGGATTACTTTTTTGTTTGATTGTGATTGCACAGTGAGCAGGGGTTTCATTGAGCTGTTCATAATGATACCAAGCCATTCCCCAAGTAATTACACTAAATTTAGGATTCTGCAAAGTACATGAGCAGCTCAAATAATATCTTTCCAATATGCATTAYCCTGCATTTGTCAACTCAGAATTAAATTTGCAATCATGCTGCCCATTCACTTAGCTTTATTAAGATCTTATGAAGTTACTCTCCATCTTCTATTCATTAATTCGAGCAGTGTCTTCTGCAACTGTTGCCATCTCACTTTTCACATCCCTATTTCCAAATCATTATTCTTGAGACTGATTGCACTGCCTTATTCTAAGGTCACCTTCCAGTTCATATTACAAGACCCCATTTGTAGTTGCTTAACTTTAATATATTTCAACCAGCTGGGATGGATTTTCATATTCTGTAATGGGTGATTTATTCAAAGAAGTTTGAGTTAAAACAATTCAGCCACAGCTGAAACCAAGGCCAGGAAAAAATACAATGTTGAGGCATTTTCAAAGTTTCTTATAACACTTTTCTTGAAAGGCTCTAGTACTTGCAGGACCCTGTTTAGAAACTTGAAATTTTTTACTGGCATGTCCCTTATTTTGCTGTCTGTTATGACATGTGGCCCCAAAATAAACCTCTGAGAAATTACACTTTCCTGAAGATGGATTTAGACTTCCTAGAATCTCCAGAGGTGCTGTCCTGCCTGTGAGCTCACAAACATCTCTCGTCTTCTACCTCTACCTGCCCTGGGTGTGCACCATTGTCACAGAAACCGAGCAGCTTCACAGCTTCAGAGTGAACAGGACAGGAGAGATGAGCTGAGAGAAGGGCRCTGTGCTGTGCTTATGCTGCCTCACTCCTTGTTTGGGAACTTAGGCAAAAAAGCACAGGAAGACTTTTCAATGGGGATAGAAAAGAGCTAGAGCAGATGATGAGAAACTAGGGAGATCAAGAAATCTGGTGAGATTGGGCTGAAGACAGTGAGAGGAAATAAAGTGACAATTGCCCATGAATACAGACTTAGACTTTTAGTGAGAGATGGAAAATTGCAGCTAGTTTTGCAGAGGGACTGGGAGTGGGGCAGACTGGGATTAATCTAGTGGAAAATGTAGTCAAAAGGAAAGAGGAGGGGTGGAGGGGTGCATGGGGAGTTGAATGCAAAGGAAGGATCAAACTTGTGGAGTAGAAAAGGTGTAGGGGAGAATAGGGTGGAAAGGAAATCTGTCGAAAATCCAGAAAATACAACTGTGAGCCTGTGAAATGAAGGACTGGCTGAAGAGTGGGGATCTGGACTGTTTGGGCCAAAGACCAGGGAAAAGGGTGCATAGATTGGCTGGGTTTTAGGAGGAGAGAGACACGCAGGGAGGCCTTGGGCACAGACTAGAATAAACAAGTCATGAAAGTACAAAGTTGGGGAATTGTACAGAACAGTTAGGGTGTATGAGGGTCCATTTCCTGACTGAAAGGCAAGTAAGACTTCTTTTTTCACCTGGGGGTTTTCTGCTTGCTTACTTACTTGCATGGCCAGGCAGATGGTGTTCAGCAGGATCAGAACGAACATCAGGTACTCAAAATASGTGGAGTTGACCACATACCAAACCTTGTACTGGTACTGGTTTTTAGGAATGTATCTCCGCAGAGGCCGGGCTTTCAGGGCATACTCTACACACTGGCGCTGTGGAAGAGGCAGGGTACAATTAAAACTCAACCCCAAAATAACWGGGTGATCAGTTACCTTCAAATGTAATAAAAATACAATATGTTTCAGGTTTTTTACTAAAATTATAAATCTTGGTAGAATAATTTCTTTTAGGTCATAAGGTGGATGTGCATATTCTACATGCAATTACTTTAGCCTGACTCTGCTGCTGTGCTCATCTAATCTCAGGGAAACAAATGGTACAGCAAACATTTTTAAGTAATTATTGTCCCCTGAGCAAATCTTACAGCAAGATGTTTTTCTACCTGAAAGATGTCAGCAAAGCCAGCTTACAGTTTTATCTTGTTGGGAAGCTCTGCTCATCTCTGTACGCATTTATCTAGTAAAAGCTTATTCTCAATGCATTTTTTACCTTTAGTGACAGCAAGGTGTTGTAAATTACCTGGTTTTTGTCCAGCTCACAGTTCTTGTACTCTTGTTCTCCTTGTTCCTGAAATGTGACGATGACGAAACCAACGAAGATGTTCATCATGAAGAAAGCAATGATGATGATGTAGATAATAAAGAAGATGGAGATCTCAACCCTGTGATTATAGATGGGTCCCACATCCTCCATGTGGGAATCAATGGACCTATACAGCAACCTGAAAGCAAACAGGAGCCAAATGCAGAGAAAATCTGCAACTGCCTTGAGGCCTTATAGGTGWTGTTATAAAGTTTAACTTTTGTGATTTTCTTGATCAAAATGAATTCCCTCAGAGATGTGGAGGCTTGCACTGATCTGAGTACAAATGCTTTCAAAAGAGAAGACCTGGCTTTTATTAACTTTACACATTTGAACCTGCTCAGGGATGAAATGTTTTTTCACAGTAGAACAAAACCATGCCCCTCAGTTAACAAAAGACAGGAGAGTCCCAAGAGTTGTTGGGAGCTGAGTTTAGTGGGAAAAGGGGATCCCAGGAGTTAACAGTTGTCATCACTGCTGTTGGCATCACCTGGTGACACAGGTCAGGGTCAGCCCCCTRACACCCTGTATTCCATGTCACCCTGACTGAGTGGCTCCATAGGAGTCTCCAGCTCCTGCAGCACAGACAGCACAGCCTGGAAAGACACCCATGACTGCCAGCACTGCAGAGAAGGCACTGTTGTGCTTCATATTGCCCTGCTGACTCCATGGGGAAACCTGGAACTGGCATTTCTGGAACGTACCTGATACACACTTCATATTCATTTATACACATAATAATTGTAACAAATACTGGTATCACTGCTAATAYTGGAAATGATTTTTTAAGAACTAGAGACAGTGCTTTGCAGTGTTTACAAGCACAAGAACAGAAATTCCTGCAAGCCCTGAGGAATTTACAAAGTACGTATTCCGCAACTGCTGCTACTATTGCTATATTTAAAGCTCTAGACTTATTTAAATACTTAGAAAGGAAAAGACCATGCTCTGCATGTGAATTTTCTCTTTTGAAATGAATGAGGACATTGCTAGTGTTGCACTGGTCCAAGAAACACTCACTCTGGCCAGCCCTCAAAGGTTGAGACGGTGAAGAGGGCCATCATGGCAGTCAGGACGTTGTCGAAGTCAAACTTGCTGTTCTCCCAGCTCCGGGGCTGTATCATGGGCTGGCTGACCTCCCCATCCTTGTAGGTGATGTAGTACCCTCTGTGTGGGGAGARCAGAGACAGAACATGGCAGACCTGCACTGGAGCACGAGGCGCTGAGAGTGGGCGGCCAGTGAAGGGGAGGGATTGGTAATGGTCAGACCCACCTGCATTCTGCTTCTGTCTGCTTGGAGCTGTCAGTGCAGCTGTACAGCTTGCCCTTGGAAAGGAAGAAACAGGAATGAAGCTTCTGACAGCACAAGGGTTAGGGCAGATCACGTAGCAAGGTGTTGGCATCTACTACTTGGTTAACCACCCGTGTGCTTGCACGTCCTTTTGCAGACTGATGTAAGCAAACTGACTTGAGGGTTGCCTCAATCTGGGTAGCACAGAGCACAGGCTTTTGTCTGCTTGTACAGTACTTCTATGTAYATGTCATGTGTGCTGCAGAATARGTTTTGTCAGGAGGGTGGTGAAGGRCAAAGAGAGAAAAGCAGACCTATAGAAGTGAATGAACAACTCCCATGATTATTTGGTATGCCACTTCCTCTGCAAGATGGGAGGCCTGCAAGTACCAATCCTTTTGAACAGCCCCCTTCACCTTCCTGGGACCAGGCTATGCCCGTSTCAAGCTGTTTAGGAAGAACAACATTACTGATGATTTCTTATGATCACAGATGATGGGCAGGAGTTCTGCATGTGCCTGGCTCAGTTTTGGAGAACTGCTGGTAGAAGCCGCCCAGGAAACGCTCAGAGTGCCACAAATGTTTTGCCTTTCACACACAAAAGACTCCATTTTCCCTTCCTCAGTTTTTTTATACTATTTTTCTTCCCAACCCTTAATACAGCTCAATGTAATGGATGAATGAATGGGTCCAGTGGTCTTACCTTAAACAGCTGAACTCCAATGCAGGCAAACATGAACTGCAGCAAAGTGGTGACAATCACAATGTTCCCGATGGTTCGGATGGCGACAAACACACACTGGACCACGTGCTGCAAAAGGGAGATAGGAACAAAAGTAACTTGCAGGATTGTTCTCAACTGCTTTGGCTAARGGAGAGGCTCAAGAATAAAAACACAGATAATAAAATGAGAAAATGCTTAATTTATACCCATTGAGTATTGTCTCAGGAAAGGGGACCAACTTGTTTCATTCCTTGCTGTACTTTTAGAAGCAGGCAGAAAGGGATAGGAAAATACCAGAACTCAGCTCTCTGAAACATCCAGCATAGCTGGGGCCTACCAGCACATAGGAAGGAGTCTATCTAATACAGAAAGGCTATGTTTAGGGTTGTGGGCCCATCTGTAGCCCTAGAAAACCACATAATTTCACCTCTGTGGTTGAAGGGGTCATCCAGCTGAGAAGCAGCTTGTCAGAAARGGACCAGGGAATCCTGGTGGACACAAGGTTAACAGCCCTCACTACTAAGATGGTAAGTGGTATCTTGGGCTGCATTAGAACTTTTAGCAAGGTGAAGGAGGTGATTCCTCCCCTTTCCTCAGCACTGGTGAGACTACTCCTGTTGTGCTGGGTCCAGTTCTGCCTTCTCAGTACAAGAGAACCATGGACATACTGGASGAAATCCAGCAAAGAGTCACCAAGACGGTTTAAGGRATTGAAGCCTCTCTCCCRTAAGAAAAGGCTGAGAGAGTTGGRTCTGTTMATCTTAGAGGAGGSTCAGAGGGAYCTGGTCAATGTARATTAATGGSTGAAGAGAGGATACAGAGAAGGCAGAGTCAAGCTTTTTTTCAGTGGTTCACACTGACAGGACAATGGGTACAAGCTGAAACAGAGTAGGTTTATCTGAACATTGAGAAATGCTTTTACTGTCAGGGTGACTGAGCATTGTGCAACCAGAGAGGTTGTGGTGTCTCTCTCCTTGGAGGTATTCTAAAGYCTGGGCAACCTGCTCTCAGTGACTCTGCTTGAGCAGGTCCCTTCCAACCTYAACCATACTGTGATTCTGCTGAAACATTACTTGAAGCACTGCAGAAGTCCTTATAGCCTGAAATAACCTGAATTTATAGTTTATAGAGTGCACTGGAACTTTTCTAACCTTCAGTCCTTTGGCTCTGTTGATGGCCCTCAGTGGCCTAAGGACCCGCAGAACACGCAGGATCTTCACCACATTAATGGCACTGGACCTGGAAGAAATTATTGGAAAGTTTGWGAGATACAGCAATGTGGGGAGTGTGCTGCAAGGGCAGATCTTTGAAATCCTTCACAGTCCTAGACCACTTAAGGTATTTAGTCAACTCTTTGCCATGGCACTTCAGGKGTAAGGAAATCAATCTCTGATGCTATCTTCACAGGTCTTGCTTTGTGTTCTGGCTTTCATCATCTCTGCTGTATTAATGAAGGGGKAATGGAACATGGGCAAGGTATATTTTTAGAGCAAGACTTTGTAGATATCTATGATACAGAAATTGTGCCAAGATGTAGTCATTTCCAAGGCATTTTCAGATAGGGTTCAAAGAAGCWCTCAGTTGAAATATTCACAGAAGAGTGAAAACTCCATGAGACTCCAGCATTAGAGGTATACTATCCACTCTGAGTTTGATCGTGCAGTGTGTGTGGCTCCTGAACTCATGAACCATTTAAGCATGTACATAAATTTAAGGATGTGAAAACTTCCACTGAATTGATTAGGATGACTTATGTGCTTACTTTTAACTACTGAACACAACTATACTGCAGCAGAATTCTCTGCACCTTCCAAGACTAAAACCCTGGCTGAGAATYTTCCTCATGCTGTATGACATCATATTCTCCTACTGATTTTGGGAACAGTTTTTCTATTAGCATACTAAGAGTCTAGTTAGGTCTCTAAGAAAGAAATAGCAGGTCAAAACAAGCACAGTGCCATTCTTAAGACCTTAACTGAAAGCCCAAAGGACCTCACAAATTCTGCGAGACTTAGTGTGCAATGTTTGTGGTCTGCTGACTTACAACAGTTACAGCTGGGAGCTTGTTTCTTATCAGATGTGAAACTAATTAGGAAGTTTTGTACCCAATACACAGAGTTCCACATTGTCAAGTAAACCTGTACACTTATTAAGCAAATTAACAGAACATGACAGAAATAGAACAGCCACCACCACTCTGAAGATTCCCACAAAACTCTTCAAGCACTTGGTGGTCTTCCATTGACCAAGACTCACAATATCTTAGGCAGTAGCAAAACATTTTCAACCCATTTYCCAAAGAGGTTATGAGAGATCTAGGAGGGAACTGGACTGTTCTGAATTGATACARTGAATGGAAGGTCATGGAACAAAGCTAAGTGTCATGATTCCCAGTACACTGATTTCTTGTTCTCACTTGCTTGATCTGAAGGATTCCCCCCTCCAGGACACCAGTGCAGCATTTCCCAATTACCTCCCCTCTTGAGGATGAATTTTAATGGTCTTGAATTGTCTGAGAAAAAACACCTCATGAACACCTCAACAGGCTCATGAGAGGTAAGACAATGAGCCYGAGCCACGCCTCCCCAGCCCAGCCTTACAAATCCCCCCCAAACCCAACCAGCTAGAAATAGCTCACTCACTGGATCCCAAAGGAGATGAGAGAAACGCTGACCACCAGCAGGTCTAAGATGTTGAAATAATTCCTGCAGAAGGAGCCTTTGTGGAGGAAAGCCCCGTATGCGGTCATCTGCAGGGAGGCACACGGAGACACAAACACACTTTGCCATCAGCAGCTGCTCAGGAACCAAACCCACCTGGTTAGGCTCAGAGAGTATCATTGGGGAGGGGGCAGTATTTCTAACATGGCAGACAATTTACCCCCAGACCCCAAAGGAGAAGTTGAGCCCCCATGGAAAGAAAAGAGAGTGAAAAAGACAGCAAGATAACTATGACAGGCTTAACTAAAGAAAGCGTGGAAATTATGCACTTTGAGTGCAGTGAGTACATAACATTTAGAATCAGCAAAGCAGCAGAACGAGCATTTGCAAAAACTACTCTTTGCAATCACATGCTTTTCCCTTTTACTTCAGTGACAGAGACACTGAAAAGGCCTCTTTAACAAAATTGAGTTAAAAAAAAATAAAATGGGCTCTTCTGTAATGCTTTTCAGTGCTTAGACCAGCTGCAATGGACAGTTGATCACTCTTCCCTCCAAGAAGGAAAACCAGAATCCCTCAGGGATTTGATGCTTTACTGCTGAACTGAAACAACAGGAGAAATTACTGCTCTGTYCAGTTTGCTCCTTCTGTTCAGCTCAATCCCATATCCCTTTTCCTATGCATCCTCATTCATTTTTACTCTAGATGCAGTTGCATTTTCTCCTTAGTTTTCCTTACAAAGCCCAAGGCTATATATTTTGAAACAGAGTAATTTCTGTATCTTGGAACAGAGTAATTTCTCTGTGAAGGTAAATCATTATGAACATCACCTGGCAGAGGGAGGGAAAATAGTTATTAATTTTGCAAGGGAGACTCTACCCCGCCTGGCTATGAAGGGGTATTGAATACCTGCTGACTTTGAGGAAGGTGTCACATCTTCAGAACTGGATTAAGTGACAGTGAAAACAGAAAACTTGAGGCTGAGCTCTGTTACACAATGTGACTAAATGAGTTTGGCCCAGTTAAAGATGGTGAGTAGATGGGGGGATTTGTACCACCTACCTTAGACTCGGTGAGTGATCTAATGAAGCTGCTTTGAAGAAACCCCATCCCCACAACTGCTAATGTTCCTTCATTAGGAATTCTCATTCCCCATCCAGGAGTACAGGCTAAGTTTGGTCCTGTGAATCTCATCTAAGTTAGGTGTCTAAAGTAACCCGAGGCAGACACCATGAGACCGTTACTCAATGATGAGCTGTAGCCAGACTCCAGCTGAGAAGTGTGAACTGGAAAGTCAAACTGGAGTTTTCTGGCTTCCACCAGTAGCTCAGGATGGCATATTGGCCGGTGGTTTCTAGCCTGTGACAAATTTATTCAGAGCAGGGTGGAAGGGCACATGGTATTTCAGATTATTTTCTTCACCAAACATCCATGACATCAGGGAACTGACTATCAATCAGACAGAACTTAGAAGGGGAGRAGGAAGTATAAACTCTGGTCTTGGCTTAGAATTTATACTTATAGACACATTCAGTTGGGGAAGGAAGGAGGGGTTCTTGCCATAACAAAGGTGGTAAAGATACCCTTTACTGGTTAGATTTTGTATGGCRATCTTRAAAGAAAGACACCATTGAAATCAAGAGGGGAAGCTCTGCTGAGTTTAAGTTCTACACAAACTGTGGTTCTCTCAAGTCCGTTGAGAGATTTTGTTATCTCTGAAGAAATCTCAAAGAGTGTATAATCTATATTTGCCTCCTATCCGGGGCATTAAACAAGCTATAACCTTTTAGGATGCCAGTTAAAAATCCTTGGCAGTCACCTTGCCAACATTCACCAGAATGCAGGTGTTGTTATCAGCAACATGAGGGCAGATGAGGCTTGTTTCTCCACAGTCTTGAGTATGGCCATTCATTCATTTTTACCATTTACATTAACTTTACTGCTTTGCAAAACATGGTGCTCAAYGCAAGGCAGCAGAGAAACATGCACTGAGAAACCAAGCTATTTGTGACTTATGGTCCTTGCTCAAGTTCCAGGGATGTTGTCATAAATCCACCAGGTTAACAGGAGGACCTGGGGAAGGCCCAGGTACTGTGCAGTACATTCCCCTGATGAAAACTGCAGTGAGCCAATGGGCTGGGTTAAGCTCTGCTTCCACGGAAGTCATTAGGAGTGTTACCACTTCCTTCAAAGGGAGCAGAATCAGTAATTGTGACTCCAAACAGATGCCTTGAACTATCATTTCATTTTCAAATGTTGCTGTTGGGATATTTTCCTTTTTCTGACAAGCCTTTTGGATCTGTCATGTGATCTGTGAATGCTCGGATTTATTGTGTAAACACAGATGCAAACTGCACACAGGCATAATGTGTACATCTCCCTGGAGAACATTATGGCTTTGGTAATTTCCAGTCATATCAGTAAAGCACGTTTCTCTATAAAAATATGCAGGGGCCACCCTGCTTGCCAGCCTTCCATATAGATACTGTTATTAGGGTCTTGAGCTGCAAAATTTGAGCAACTCTAAGGTACTGCCTGCCAGAACTTAGAACTAGCTTGCTGAGAAAAAGAAAAAAAAAAAAAACAGCTGCCAAGTGAACCTAGCATTTAGAAAGCCAGAACTTTGCTCAATTACTGTTATTTAAATTATTAGCCTACCAATTTGGGAAAATTAGAGTTAAGAACAAGGCAGCCTATTTTTATTTTCTTCTAAGCGAAACCATTCTCCTGTACATTCCCCTTGGTATAGAACATATTCATGGGAAATGGGAAGCTGGGTTTTRAAGCAGCAATTTTCATTGGCAGCTACTGTCCTTGGTGTTTCAGTGGTTTATACTCTTGATTTTCTCTCTACACCTAGAAAGTGAGCTCTTGTGCTGTTCTCCCTGCCTCTTACTTGGCAGTGCACCCTGTAAGCTCACAGAAGTCATCAGCGCCCTTTGGGCTGGTTTCTGCAGAATAGAGACCTTCTCTTTGGGTGTAGCATGTGTAAGAGGTGTGTGTATCCAGAGTTTCTTGAAGACCAGAAAAATCCTGTTTTGGAAAGACTGGCTTGGGCAGAGGGAGAAATTTATGAGGCATGGCCTTTTTCTTTGTCCTCTCTTACATTTCCCAACATTGCATCCTTTCATTGCAATTCCCCTAAAAAGCATTGTTTTGCTATAGGCCCTCAATTACAAGTTTGAATATCAAAATTTCCCAGGAGACTTTTTAAGCAACTACCAAAACATCAAAATCAAAAGAAAAACAAC